TCTCCTAAGGAATCTAAATGGTCCCCTCTCCGGGCCTCCACCCTGCTCCAAGCCCCCATCAGCTTTCCTGGACCAGTGCAGTTACCACCTCCATGCCCTTCCGGCCTCAACCTCACACAGCCTGCTCCCCACAGCGAATGCGAGGGCCTCTGGGAACATCCTCGCCAGAAGGCGTCCTTCCTCTGCTCAGAACCTTCCCCGGCTCCAAGGTCACTCACTCCGAAAGCTCAAGTCCTCCCCACAACCCTGCCCTCTACCCCATTCGCTCCCTGCCCTCACCTCCTCTACTCTTTCACTCACTCTGTTCCAACCACATGGACTTGCTCATTGTCCCTCAGACACACCAGGCGTTCGCAGCCTAACCTCAGCGCTTTTGCACTGGCTGTTCTCTCTACCAGGGACTCTGTTCCCTCAGATACCCACATGGCTGCCTCCCTCACTTCCTTCAGGTCTCTGCTCAGATATCACCTCCTCAGTGAGACCCGCCCCCATTTACAGTTGTACCTTCTTGCTTTATTTTTTTCCATTGCCCTATTGCCTTTGACCACACTATATATATTTGATTGCATATCTTGTTTCTTGTCTGTCTCCTCTACTCACATTGTCAACTCCTCCGGAGCAGGAAGCTTTTTTGGTTTTTTTTTAAAATATATTTTTATTGCTTTCAGAGAGGAAGGGAAAGGGAGAGATAGAAACATTAATGATGAGAGTCTTTGATCGGCTGCCTCCTGCACACCCCCCACCAGGGACCTAGCCTGCAACCCAGGCATGTGCCCTTGACCGGAATCAAACCTGGGACCCCTTAGTCCACAGGCCGACGCTCTGTCCACCGAGCCAAACTGGCCAGGGCAAGAGCAGGAGGCTTTGTCCTGATCGCTATTATTCACCGAGAGCAGAGCCTCGGACAATATTCGTGGCATCAACCTATTGATAATGACCATGTTCCTGGCACGCTGAGGAACAAAATAGGCGTGGCACCTGCCAGTCACTGTCTGACGGGGGCCGTCACATAGCTTGTTGAGTGCAACGAAGAGCATTCAGGGCTGAGAGCCAGAAGCACGAGAGTGTACAGGGGAGGCATGGGGAACAGTCTGGGGGATGGGGTGTAATCAGAGAAGGCTTCTGGAGGAGGTGAGGGTCTTGGCAGCCACTGAGGGCAAGTGGGGAGACCAGTGTGGCTGTCCAGAAGAGAAGGGCAGGAACTTGGGGGACAGGTAAGAATGAACAGCTTCAGGAAGTAGGGCTTACAGGTCTCAGAGACGGACCACATGTGGGGGCTGAGGAACCGAGGAGGAAAGGTGGGGCATGCTGACTTGGAGGCACCTGTGGGACACCAGGGAGTAGATGTCTGGAAAGGGGGGTCATCAGAATGCGGTGGCCAAAGCTGCGCCCCCTGAGAATAGCATTTGAGAGGCATTTGATTAAAAAAAAGCCTGAGGAGGGGGAGGGCCATTAGGAGAACACAGTGTCCCAAGGCCAAGGAGGAAGTGGGCAAAGGTGACAGATACTACATAAAGGTTGAGGGCAGCAATGATTGAGAAAGGGGGTCTGACTGGACAGCTTGGTGTCAGGGGTGGGGTCACGTGGCCACCTGAGGAGAACATGGGGAAGAAGGGAACAGAGGCAGCGAGCCCAGCACAGCACGCTCCAGAAGAAGTTATCATGAACCAGAAATGCCAGCCGCCATGAGTGTCATTTAAAAATCTTTTAGTAGGGAGGGTAGGGGTAAGGGGGAGAGATCAACCAAAGGATTTGTATGCATGCATATAAGCATAACCAATGGACACAGACACCAGGGGGGTGAGGGCATGAGCAGGGGGGTGGTGGGAGCAATGGGGGAATAAAGACACATATGTAATACCTTAATCAATAT